GAGACAAGAGGGGACCGGCTCCAGAAATAATTGTCAAAGAACCGGGTGTTACAAAGAAAATAAATGTTTTGATGATTAAACAGAAAGCAAATTAGACAAAAAGGACATCGACGATAATAAAATCAATGATACAAAGCAATAAATAGATCAAGATCAGTTTTACTGAGTCAAAATGGAATTAAGTTTAAAAAAAATAACGACAAAATAAGGGTGTAGAGTTGTCACATTCCCTCACCACTCCCTTTGTGACAGGCTATAAAACGCAAATTCGGCAATAAAAAGAACACTCCAACAAAACATCCTTCCTGGACACTGGCTCAATACAATGGCCGCCATTCACAACGAATTATTGTATTTTTCCAGCACTCGAAATATTTAAGAAAGGAATTAATGAATCTTGGATTTTATCCAAAGAATACTCAACCCTGTGCTCGTACGTTTTGAGGTTGATTTGGTATCCAATTTGAGGTTCCCGTAAGATTCGTTTAACAATGAGGTCCTAATTAGCTGTCAAGGCTGCAGACTTGAGTCCGTCGTGCGATGTCTGTCCCAGAAATGCGAATAATTCAAAGGATGTCTCCAGTGATTTCTTTCGTTTTGTTGAAATATTGTGTGAGAGGGAAACATACAAAAAGTTACTGAAAAGGAGACACAATGTTTATAGCTGTGTGCTTTGAAAATAGTCTAAAAAGAAACAAAGTTATTATGAACTATTAGGACCGGTTTAAGTTTTGGTAGGTAGGCAAATACAAGGCAAACAAAAACTTTTTAAATGCAAACTTTGCACATAAACATGATAATCCACACACGCTTCCTAATTTATCCCAAATGAAACGAATTAACTAAAATCAGAATAAATCACTCGAAGCACAAACTACAGTAACACATTCAAAAACAATTACGAGGGCGCGATTTTGGGCCGCTGCCTAATTGGTATGAGATTTGCAAGTGTTTCTAATTGCGTAGAAATTTACGCATCCAAGGCGATCAGTCAAACCGCCATCAGGTTAATTAAACCATTTGTCTGCTTAGTTCCAATGCTCATATACAAAATGTTCGGCTATTTGCAATTTGTGAAAAATTAGACGCGTTGGAAGGGTGCGGAGCATGGAGTATAATGCTGTGAGGTTTTGATCGTTTGTGGTGTAGTAGTCGTAAGATATATATTAAGCATCCTATATTCAATATATTCAGTGTATTCTCGGAGCTCGTTGGTTTCATTACACTCATCCAAACACCCAACCTTACATGGCGACCGTGACAGGACCATAGCACGGCACGGGGCCGAGCGCGTGTGCTCCATATACGGGCAAAATATTCTAAACAATAAGTGGAAAGTTACAGGCGTCTTTAAAATGAATAGAATAACCTCGGAGCTCACGGCGTATACAACACGTTTTATTGTTGCGCATCTTTGTTCGTCGTTGTTGGTGAAAAATGGGCGGTTCTAGTTCCAAAGAAGTCAAAGAACAA